ATAGATAAAATATACGAAATAAGCTAATATAAAGTCTGCTGCATTAATTGTACAGAATTATACATATTTTGCTAAAAATGAATGAATTGCATCATCTATAATTCACAAATGGTATACAATTTTTTTATCATGTAAAGACTACTAGTCTAACTCAAAAACCACGAAGCAACACGTTTTTGTCTCCATTAAAAAGAGTATGCAGTAGAACGAGTCTGCTCATGAACGAAAGACAGAAAAAAGAGCTAGTTATAGTGTCAAATGTTATTAAAATTGAATCGGATTCGCCAGTTGAATTAGTTAAACTAAAAACCAATTCTAAGGTCGAATCACAACAAAATTGAAAATTTTGAAAAATGATCACCCTGATAAAATTATTGAGAAACTAGTTAAATTGAACATATTATTTTTTAAAATTGTTAATTCATATTTTTAAATTATAATTTATACATATTTTTGCCTAATAAATGTTGTAAAATGAAAAAATGCAAGAAATATATATGGATTACATACATATATATTTACATTAAAATTATAAATTATGAAATAATTATATATATGTTGAATAAAAATGACATAGTATTGATGGATATTAATTTTTATTGTGTATTATTTTTTTGAAATTTAAACATTTATTTTTGCTGTTATATAATCATTTCCTTCTATTTTAAATATATAATATTTAAAATCTAAAATATATTAATTTATTCATGATTAATTGAATTGCAATTAAAACCACAATCCAACCATTAAACTATGAATCAGTAACTCAATTGTTTTAATCACCTGTCCCGTTTTAATAATACTGGTGTTGATAGTTTGGTCATGTTACTATAGGTAGGTATCATTCCTAATGAATAACAAGTTGCTGGTTTTTAATTATTACCACCGGTAAGTGCATTGAACCCTACACGTGAGTTTATAATTCTTTTTATCGATTGAACTGAGCACTCGGGATCTCGAAAGGGGACCACAGCCACTTGTGTTCACATTTCGCTGCCATCGCGAGTACTGCTTCTATCCTGGCCAAACTTTTTACGTTTGTCTCATGCATTGTTCTGGGATTTTAAAAACCTATATAATTAAGCTGGTTGGCAAAAATAAATAAATAAAATAAAATAAAAGTTGAATTAAACTGGAAATGGCTTTTTTTTTTGGTCGGGGGTCGAAATACATTTTAAAGATGAGAGTTTATATTATTTTCCTTACATGCTTTCTACTTTTCCCATTTTTAAGTAAAAACTGTCACATTCCCCCAACTAGAGTTGTGCATGTGGCCTGGTTAGCTTGATTTTGCCTGAGCCAATTGGGCTCGTCAGGCTAGGCATCGGGACAAGGTCAATCCCAACCCTACCTAAAAATATTTATATATATTAATTTTTTTGATTTTTTATAATGTTATTTCACTTAATTTTTTTTATGTATTATGTTGTTTTTTATGTGCATCATGCATATTTTTTTGTAATTTCAATTTTTTAATCTTTTTAAATATTTAAAATTGATATTTAACTTTGAATAATTATTAATGGTTATAATTATTACTTTTAATTCTAACATTATTTAAAAAATATTTTCAATAATTATAATTATTTTTTGCTGGTTAATAAATTTATTGTCATATTTTGAAATTAATTTTAAAATAAATTTTGGGTATCAGTCTAAATCTTGCCTGAACCTTTGGGCAGCCCGAATATGTATGTAGGACCCGGCATTGGGTTAAGGTGAAGCCTAGATCAGCTCATGTGCATCCTCACCTCCAAGAATATAATGCACACTTTTTGTAACATAAACCATTTTTGTACAGAAGACCAATTTTACTGCACAAATCAACGTATATTCTTTCATAATATTAACGCATCAATGATCTTACGGTACCTGGTTATTCATTTTGACGGAGTGTCATTTGAGTCGATAATTTTAGAACGAGATTAAACTCGATGGGAGAGGCAGAGAAAATGTATATTCTCTCTCGTTGCACTGTCCTCATTATTCTAAAAAAATGTCTTAACGAATTTCGCACTGACGAGGTGTGCTGACCAATCAGAATGAAGAGATATTTACTAGGGTGTCCCGAAAGAAATGGGGACCATCCAAGAGTTTTAAATTCAAGGTGGATTAGTCTGTAGGCCAGGCAAAACGACGTCGCAAGAAAAAAAAATGCAGGCTTGTTTTGGACGTGGCGATAGACTGGGAAGAAAGAAGAAGCGGAGATGCTTCTATATGGTTAATTTAATTAATATGCACTAAGATATCCTTAACATCGCAATGATAGCATCTTAGGCAAAGCAATATTGGCTTGCAAGGAGAAGGAATTATCCTGATCCTGGTCTTGCTTTTATAGTTCATAATGTCACGAGACGCTATTATACATTGATCCGTCATCCACGGGGGGCCACGCCCGCCTCCATCCAATCTCAATTGGAAGACTAATCTTCTATTTTGTTGTTGTTGTTATTGTTATTATTGTTATGTTAGAATAGCTCCAAAATCAACTTCACATCACAGATTAAAAAAGTGTTGTTACTAACAAGCACATCAGCCCGTTTGACTTCTTCCACGAACATCGTCATGGCGCTAAAAGGAAATTGCTCCAGTTTTAGGATGCATACAAGGTGGCAAATCTGCCTTTTAAGTGCCACCGCGATTCACAATTTCAACTCCAAACAGTACGCATTCATTAATGTTACTCATTTATAGATAATTAATACAAATTTATTTATATAATCTTTAATCCAAACATTTTATTTATTTATTTATTTTATTTTTACTTCTCAGAGTTCTCAACAGTAGATAGTGGTAGTTTGTTTGTTTGTTTGTTTGTTTTAATCTTACATATCCTCCTCTCATGCATAATCATTACTATAATTGACGATTTCCCACCCCTCTCCTGCTGTGCAGCTAATCTCTATCCCACGCGTGCTGGTAGCTAGCGGCGCGCAGAGATACACACATTTTCTATAAATATTTCTTCCCATTCTTAATGTAAATCGAAATTAACCAACTCCATGCTTATCCAAGAATTGTAGCTATATCCATAAAATTAATAAAAAAAATATCTAACTTTTCAATTTCACCCTTCTTTATAATAACTATAATAAATTATTATCTAGAAAATATAAATTAAAATGACAATAAATAAATAAGAGTAAAATTTAAAAAACATTAATCATTCTAATTTTGTCTTAAATTAGGAACCTTTTTTTTATTTCGTCTTATATTAAAAATAGGAAGAAGTATTCCTTAATCACTATTGGCCGCAACAAAATTGTTCAAAATTTTTGCAACAAATATGACTAAGACCAACAAAAAACTTTGAGAATAATCCCTTGATTTTAGTGTGTGTTTGGATATGGTTTAGAATTGATTTTTTGGCCCAAAAAATCAATTCTCTATAAAATTTATACAAACACTCATTTTTTTGTTAATCAATTTTTGGGCCAAAAATTGCTTATTTTTAGAAGTTCAGAATCGGAGCTTTTGTGAAAAAGCTTATCAAAAAGTGTTGAGAAAAATTATAAAAAAAATTAAGAAAAAATTATAAATAAAGTACATAATTTAATAAAAATAAAACTAAATTTTTTTCTTTTTTTTAATAAAATTCAAACTTTGTATCCTCAAAAAATTAATATTTTTCATTTAAAAATTAAATTATATAATAATTTATATAGTTAAAATTGATTCTAATTAAATTTTTCAAACATCTCCAATTTTGTTATAATTAATTTTAAAAAATAGTATTCAAATAGATTACGTTATAACATAATCAATTATGATTAAATTTTATTATTTAATCAATTATTTTCATAATCTGTTATACCCAACTGAAATTCAAACAGGCACTTATTTATAAATTACTTTTCAACATGTTTCATTAGAATCAAATAACACATTGAACCTTGTTAACTCGATTTAAAAATATAACAAGTTTTTAATTTTATTTTTATTAAATATAAATACTTTAAAAATAAAATACTTTAACATTTAATAACTTTACATCATTTGATAAAAGCAAAATAATGCAAATAAATACAATAGCAATTGAGATTTTTTATAAATAAACTAAAATAAATATTTTTTCTAATAAGCATGGGACGACACAAGGAAATTAACAAATAATGACACCGAAAGACATTGAATTCTGGACTACGGTGGACCCATTCACGTTGTAGCACGAAGAGCAGGTCCAAAAAACGGGCGCATTACTGCAACTGCAAGTATCCAAATCTGGTATCAAGGACCAAATAAATACCACCTCACTTTGCATTTCAACACAACATTATGGCTGAACTACTAGGTTGGTCACAATGTTTTATTATTGAAAATTTAAGTCGTCGTCTTCTTCTTCTTCTTTTTAAATTGAGTGGCAGCTATGTTCCAATTGTAACTTTAAAATATAGTCCATCTGTAGAAATCCTGTTACTTGCCGTTAATGTAGTGTTGAAGCGACTGGGGAGTGCTGATGTGGCGTCACTTAGACTTTCCTTTCCAACTCAGCATCCACATAACCAAACCCAACCGTCCCATACTGCTATCATCGCAGAACGAGGCTACGACGCGTAAATGAAGCACTAGAGAAGGAAAATCAGTACACATCAACGGCATTTTCCTACAGCAGAATTTATTTATTTATTCAAAAAAAAAAAAAAGGATTCAAGCCTTAAATACAACAACTGCTCCATCTATGTCCCCATGATTATGAGCACCGTCTTTTAATCCACATTTTCCCCAAATAAAACTAAACATACATATAATCTTGTTTTCGGCAGATGATGGTAAATAATTGTTTTTGCATCCCAGCCGCTGCCCCTCGGGGCATGTCTTATATCTTTTTGCTCGTTCCACGTCAATCAAATATTCGAGGAAAAAAGAAATGAACATGACCCATTGATCCAACATGACGAGATAACTTAATTTTCATACCTAATTGGCATCAAGACAATTCCTATGGATATGAAATGTAGTCTCACTTTTCCACAATTAAAAAGAGGCGCTAATTCAACAGATAAGTCTAGAATGATACATTTTCATTAGTGACTTGATAGAATCATAATACATGGGTTCTTCGCACAAGGAGAAACCTGCGTGCTACTTCTGTCATTATAAATTTACCATGTTTTTGAGCATAGATAAGACTCCAAATTAATAATTTATATTTTGATGATAATTACACCAGTGTATACTGTGTATTCTTTCAAAGTTATTACAACAAGACTAGAATAGGACTTCAGCTACCGTCTTAAATTTTCAGTCACAATTGGAGGCGAGCCGCATCATACATTTCTTCAAGTGAGAATGTGTAGATATAGTACTAAACTTGACAATCAGGCAGAGTAGAGAGGCTATTCAACCAGAGTGAGTCAGCGACAACAGCTTCGTCGTCGTCATTCCTATGCCAAGTCCAACGCGCATGCGTTGCATTCACCACATCCAACACCCCATGTCCAAAGCTAGCCTCCCTGAATAGCGATATCTCCGGTTTTGGGTCTATGTATCTGTAAATAAACCCGCAACTCAACTCATCATCTTAAAGTTGTATTAAAAAAAAAAAAAAAACAGGAAAAAAATCATGTGCCAATTAGATACAGCTTGAAAATGCTTAAAAGATCGACTCACTTGGTGGCGAGGCCTTCTCGATTGCCGCCATCACCTATCGTGATATGCACTGAACCGCAATTAACAGCCTTGTCCTTGTAGACTCGAGCCTACAGAAACAGTTTATCAAACAAATAAGTTAAATCCTATCAAAGGTGAACTGCACTTAGAGGAGGAGGAGGCAGAGAAATTGGGAAACATGGACTTACAAAGCGCTCATAGGCATGAACATGGCCTGCAAAAACAACATCAACACGAGCTTTATACAGCAAATCTTCCATGGCGGCCTTCATGGCATGGGACTCGGGCTCATTCTGATGAGCAGTGTTGGAATTATACCAAGGAGCGTGCAGAAGCGCCAGTATCCAAGGCGTCTTCTTCCTGTCCACCTTTTGCAAGTCGGTCACGAGCCATCGATACTGCGCAGAATCAGAATCAAAGTCGGTGTAGGAGCCGAGCATGATGACGTGCACACCAGCAACCTCGAAAGAATAGTACAGGTTGGAGTCGGATCCACTCTGTTCGAAGGGCATCCGCCACCTGGCATTGTAGGCGGTGAAGGGCTGGCTATGAACAAGGGGAATATTCTCGATCTCATGGTTGCCCTGGGTGACCATCCAAGGACGCTGGCTGGCTAATGGCTGGACGAGGCGACCATAGGAGTCCCACAGATTCTGCACAGTATCTGCATAAGACAGGTCTCCAGGTAACAGCAACATGTCGTAGCTTGAATCAGCAATGTGTTGGAGGGTAGAGCGAGTCCAATCGGTCTGTCCGAGATCAGCTACGACAGCGAATCTGAGGGGGAATTGAGAAGGTGGGGTTTTGAGAGAGTAGTGTGGGGAGGAAGGTGAGTCACCCAGACGGTAGTAGTAAAGGGTGTTGGGGTTGAGAGGGCCGATGACGACGTCGTGAATGAGGCCGGACTGGTAAGTGAAGTAGCGGTAGGAAGAGGTGGTTCCGTTGGCAGAGGAAGCGTTGGCTTCAGGAGAAGGACCGTAATGAACAATGGCAGGGGCTGTGCTCTGTGTGATCCATGAGATTCTCATGTTGTTTTGCCCCACCTGAGACACATGCACCTGCATAATAACCCCATCCATTCCTCATACCATTATGGTTTTTTTTTTTTTTTAAAAAAAGAAATATACGGTAGACAACTAGAAATTTCTCAATTAAATTGCTCATGCCATTATATTGCCTCTTCATCTTAGCCATGCCAGTTTTTTTCTTTTCTTTTCTTTTTTTTTTTTGCTAGACGTACAAGTTTTTTGGGTAGAAAGCAATACAGTCCAGGGGACGCCAATCCATGAACATTCAAGCCCAACTTATTTTGGGCCTAACTCACAACTGAATTATTTTCATCCATATTTAGGCACTTTATCACCCAAGTAGATGACATAGTTTTACGAGAAAATAAAAAATAAAGTATCAAGTTGCCTGTTAGGATCATCTGTAATTCTTAAAAATGATCATATATATATATATATATATATTGATATTGTCATATTGATGTTAACAAAGCATCTAAAAACAAAGATTACTCTAGAAAGGACAAAAGTATTGAATATATATATATATATATATTTTGAATTGAGCCTTCAATTAAAAATGTGTATCTGATATAATTTTTTGATAATTGTGTTAATTGACGAATATCACGAGTAAATATTATAATTTCAAAGGAAGTGTCACATAAATTTATATGAAATAATGTCATTCATGAGTGATGGTGACATGGGCTCGCCGAAAAATTCAAGGCACAGATAATACGGCGAACAAAACTATGGGAATTAAGAGACACTGTTTCGGATTTGGTGCAGTCGAAGCACGGACTTTACATAGCAAACTCACATGATGCATGAGGTCCAATGAAAGCATGAAACTAAATTGAATAGGCTTATCAGCGCTAGTGGATTCGCTTTAAAGTCACAGTTATCATTCTCTCACTGTCTCTTAAGTTAGATAACATTGGGTAACCCAACGTATTGGGTCCTACCAAACCAAACACACCGACCCAAATCATAATTCTCCGGCAAAACAACAAGCAGACCGCCATGAAAAGTACCGGTCCCATTCATCGGAAAAAAGCCAAAAATCAAATATAAGAAATCCGACAAACCTCTGAAAAACCATTTTCATTTGATCATGTCCAAGGAATCTCGTGAGTTTTGAGCAAATGCTGAGATCAGAAACGAAAAGTGAGGTCAGGAGAGCGCGAGTACCTGTTGAGGGGACGTATCAGAATCCTCGTCCATGGAGTGTGGGATGAAGATTGCCCGACGAGGAGGAGGGCGACGGTATGCCAAAACGACGCCGAATAGTCCCACCATTATAACCACCACGCTCGCCCATCGCGCCTCCATTGTCTCTGTCGATTGCCGTGAGCTTCGGAGTTAAACGCAGCGTCAGAGCGTCAAGGTAATATTTGTCTTTCATGATCTCACCTCCTATAGCCTCTTTTATATAAATCGTCCCTCGGAGCTGTCAATCTTCTATTTCATTATTTATTAATTAATAAACTTATTTATTTTCTAATGGCTCCTCTCATTATTATTAGTTCCCTTATTTTGTCTTTTTATTCTTACATTCAGTGAACCAGTCTCGTGAACCATTGGAAGGCTTTCGCAGGTCCAAGAAAAAAAAAAGAAAAAAAAAAACCCATTCGAGAGTTTCTATCTATGCTCGACATGTTTCGAGAAACCAAAACAACATTTCCGATTCCTGGATATTCTTGGTATCTAGCCTTAATCAATTTCATCTCATTTATTTCCAGATTAATATATATATAAATACAGAATCCTGAGATTAATTGTCAGGACAACGTGGAATATCAGAAGAGGTAGACACTTTCGTGATGATTAGTATGATGTGATTGCGGGGTATTTTTCTTCGGGAAAATTAGGGAGGGAGATCTGATACAAATAAAATTTATTATAAAAGATTATAAAAAAAAATAGATTAGGATGAACGACCAAGATAAGTATGATTGACTATTATAACTTGAACATAAAATTTGGTAGCCTTAAAATTAACATAGGATACTATCTAAGTTACAAAAGTACTCTTTTAAAAATAAGGTAGTATTAAATTTAATTAAAAATTAAATCAATTTAAAGAATTAAATTTAAATAATTATTCAATTTTATCAAAACCGTGCTATCTCAATTTGGGTTTTTGAGCATTAACTAAAATTTCTTGACTAAATTATATATTCAGTCCTTTAACTTCATATAATATTTCATTTTAATCTGTGTCTTTTTAATCCTTTAACCCTAATAATGTTAATTTTGTCCCAACAAATTTTTACATTGAATTTTTAAATATTGATAAAATATTTTTAAATATTGACATATTAAGTTTAATTTTTTTAAAAATAATAATGATTGACACAAAAAATAATCATTTAAAACTAATGATGTTAGAGTTAAAAACTAAAAATATGCTTTACAAAATTAAAGGATAATTGAATCCTTATATAAAGTTAGAGGATTAAATATAGAATTTAACCGATTTTTTTAGTTTACTAGTTGTTATATAAAAAATAGCTTCCTCCTAAATGATATGTTTTTGTCAGTAACGGTTAAATGCAATGTGTATGGTATGGTTAAAGAAATTATTGGAGATATGATTAGGAGCAATATAGTATTTTTTAAATTTTATATTTTGATATTTCATCCTTATAAATAATAACTATTTTTAAGATTATTTTTAATAAATATTATTTTTTCAGGTCCTTTGTTATACTTTTCCCTTTTTCTTTCTTCTAAAAAATATTTATTTGGGTTGACAAGATATGTGCTCCAATGCTCTAAGTCCAGATAAATTCTTAGGTAGATCTAATGTATCATGTCATTTGTAGTCTGTTTAATAAAAATATGATATTTAGATGACATTAAATATCAATTAGTTTTAATATTAATAATAGAAGAGAGATAAAAGGTAAGAAATTAAATATACATTCTATTATAAGAATAAAATTAATTAAAAAAAGTTACATAACATTTTATTTAGATTACTTGAAATATTTTAATTGGACAGATTACAAATGACGTAGCACATCTGGTCTACCTAAGTGATATTTAGGATTTAATTTGTAATCATAATATCATTTTCAAATAAGCAGACCATTTAAATAACAATAGGGGACTTCATATTTGGGGAATTTAATTTAAGAAGTCCGATACACAAATATTCCCGCAAAAAATATACTCTTACATTGTAGAGAGAAAAAGTGGCTACTTTTATAAAGACCATAATAATCTTACTAGCTTGCATATAATAAAATTTATTACTGCACCATATCATTTATACATTTTTCACTATATATTACTAAATGGAATAAGAAATAATTTTATTTTTATTTTATACTTATTTTATCCATTTTTATTTTTTTATACAATGATTTAAAAGTTTTAAAATAATCTTGAAATTTAAAATATAACTCCTAAAATGGATCAGGTAAAAATAAAAGGGAGAAAGGTAACAGGTAAGAAGACGAGGCAATAAATGAAAAAAAAAAATTTGTGGATAAATTTAAAAAGAAAAGTTTTCTCTTCAAAAGATTCTCATAATTTTGTGGGTCTTGCATATTCTTTTCTTCTAATCTGCTCTCGCAGCCAAATAGGGAAGTTTTCCTCATGCTTTTCTGTTCACCTCACTCTTCTCCCTTACCAACTACAAGCACAGGGTTTTTTTTCAGATTTACATTCAATAACTGTACTTAATATAAATATTAAATGTTTATAATATAAATCATTAAAATTCAAATTAATGATTAAGATGAATTTACTTATTTATTAATCTTAAGTGGAGTATAAATTCATAATCATTTATTTAAATTTTAATGATTTAAATGATACAAACATTCAATGTCTATATTAAGTGCAGTCACCAAACCCAAATCCTTTTTTCTCAAAAAAAAAACACCTTAGTTCAATAGAAAATAATTAACAATACTTGGAAAAAAAAATTAGTGCAATAGTATTAATGAATGACGACCATAACAACTAATTTTGAAGCAGGTGATGATAAATATTTTGACTTGTTAAGATTTACATTCCATGGCCTAACAGCTAATTAGAGACTTAATTTCTTGGCCAAAATTTACAATCGTGGCATAACAAACCAAAGACATTTTTTTTTTTTTTATTCTTTGCCCGGCCAATTAACAACCAAAGGCTCTGAGTTGGAATGATGGAATCTTTGGCAAAGAATACTAGAATGATGTATTCGACGAGAAAGATAACCAAAAAATAAACTTACCATTTCCCCCTCAAATCTAATTAAACATCAGTAACCACACACAACATATATAGATTGACCCGTGGTTGGTGGTTTTGACAATTTGTAATTTTGTATTACTAACAAACAAATGCAGATGCACGCACGCCCCCACCGTTGATCATTCTATCATGAGGGGTCCCCCCCCCCCATTCAATTTCATAATTATAATCGGACCGATTTTATTAATAAAGTAATTATTTGATAAAATATTATTGCATGCAAATTTAGTAATTAATTACACCAATGAAGAAAAATGATGGTTTGGAAAATATAAAATCATCGCTAAGATAAGTTGGGGAGGAGAAGGTTCATGTACTGTGTGAACTCAGCCGTTGCAGAGACTCGCAGTCGTTGGTCCACTGATAACATAATCATTATTTTGCTAAGTAACGACGAGTCTCGTGGTAAGCGCTCACTCTCTCTCTCTCTCTCTCTCTCTCTCACACGCACACACAATATGATATGCTTTATATAATGAACTGTGATTGAGGAGGTTTGACCATTTAAAAAATCATGGAAAGGAAACAGGCATGCCCAGTTCTCTTGATTTTCGTCAGTAATTAACTTCATTTCTTTATTATAATTAATTAAGTGATTCATGTTTGTTACAGATGAAAAATAAAGAGTTAATGGTTCGTGTTTGTTACAAACTCGAGAAAAAGAAACGAGAAAAATAATTCAGCTGTATGTTTGGGATTGGAATAATTAATCGCATTTCTAGAAGAGAACGATTCATAATCAATACCGATAAGCAAAGTGCAAATAGATATCAACAAGTTGATACATCACGCGGTCAGCTATAACAAGTTATTGTGTTTTCTCTATTATAAGAGAGAGACTGTGTATGTCGGAGTTCAGTCCAATGAAGATTATTATACATTCTCGATGCAACGTCGGACCTGAAGTTAATAATCTGTTTTTTTCCCAGATCTACAAAGTAGAACATACTCTACAGGCATCTCCCTTCAGTTTATATATACCTATATATAGTATGTATGCATCAACCACCCCCCCTCAGCTTCACTCAACATCTAGGGAAGTCCTTCCCTTTATTTGGAGTCAAGATTTTGGACATTAGAGGACCAGAATAGCAGAAAGAGCAGCGAACACCCCAAACACCCAACTGATATACTACTTGTACCCCTCAAAATTGTCTACAAATTAACAAGCGAATGTAAAAATGACTATTACTACGTAATCATGCTTCCAGCAGGTTGGTATTTTCGCCAACAGACAAGACATCTGAATAATATTAATAAACTTTGCAAGCAGGTTCAGTGAAGAGGCTTGTGAACCAGACGGAGTCAGACGGAACAGCCTCGTCGTCGTCATTCCTATGCCAAGTCCACAACGCATGCGTCGCGTTCACTACCTCCAATATTCCATGCCCAAAGCTGGCCTCCCTAAAGATTGACGTCTCCGGGTTGGGATCCACGAACCTGTCATCACCAACCAACCAAACATATTTATTATTATATTCTACGTTCGTATATCCTCATAGTCATACATTATACAACATTGACAATATAACATTTTGCTAAGTCTGGAAAGTTCTTAGAAAATTACTTGGTGGCGAGGCCTTCCCGGTTTCCTCCATCTCCAATGGTTATATGAACTGGGCCGCAACTGTCAACTTTGTCTTTGTACACTCTAGTCTGACAAATTAGCAGATAGATTTTTAAATTGTAGCAGAAAAGGGAGTGGGCCGGATTAGCTAGCCAATTAGATTATAAGATGAGAAGGCAACTCACAAATCGCTCATAGGCATGAACATGGCCTGCGAAAACAACATCAACGCGAGCTTCATAAAGCAAAGCTTCCATGGCCGCCTTCATCTTATAGGATTCGGGCTCACCCTGATGAGCAGTGTTGGAGTTATACCAAGGAGCGTGAACAAGCACCACTATCCAAGGTGTCTTCTCCCTGTCCACCTTCTTCAAGTCCCCCACAAGCCATTTGTACTGTGCAGAATCAGAATCGAAGTCGGTATAAGAGCCTAGCATAATGACGTGCACGCCGGCAACCTCGAAGGAATAGTACAAGTTAGAATCAGACCCGCTCTGCTCGAATGGCATTCTCCACCTTGCATTGTAGGCAGTGAATGGTTTGAGGTGAACGATCGGGGTCTTCTCGACCTCATGATTGCCTTGAGTGACCATCCAAGGACGCTGGCTGGCCAATGGCTCGACCAGGCGACCAAAGGAGTCCCATCGACTCTGTACATAATCTGCATAGGACAGGTCCCCAGGTAGCAGCAGCATATCATGGTTTGAATCAGCTATATGTTGCAGCGTCGACGCGGTCCATTTTGTCTGTCCAAGATCACCTGCATTATTACGTTCATAAATTTATAATACTGATCGAAGCCAGAGCATGGCACTTTAGTAAGAAGGGGGGATATATGAGGTTTTAGGGAGTTAAATACCTACGACTGCAAATTTGATGGGAAATCGAGAGGGAGGAGTGGTGAAGTTGTATTTTTGGGAAGAATCACCCAACCGGTAGTGGTAGAGGGTGTTGGGTTTCAAAGGACCAATGACTACCTCGTGAATTTGACCGGACTCGTATAGGAAATAACGGTAGGAAGAGGTTGTGCCAGCGGCAAAGGGTCCGTCGGCGTCAGGGGAAGCGGCGTATTGCACTTTTGCAGGAGTCGGGGTTTCTGTAATCCATGATATCCTCATCTTGTCTTGCCCCACCGCAGATATGTGCACCTGCGCAATGCAATCTCATCCAATGTCATACTTGTAGTTTCATATAGCTTGTGCTTTTCATGAAAACTCACTGATGCCTATGATAGTAAGCCAGTTGGAACTTTTTACATTAATCTAGACTTTATTCAATTAAATTTTAGAATTCTTTTTATTTTAGAATATAATATGATAACTGAATTGGTCGGAGGAAAATTTGAATGGTTTAAATTTGTTATTATAAATCAGCAATATTGATTTTTTTTTTGTGGCAAAATGATATTGTTCAGGTAAAATAAATAGTACCAGAAAATCCAGGTGTGACGTGATAAACAACCAATAGTACAGGGGCGATGTTCAACTTTTTTAAAAGGAAAAAGAACTCGCTGTCTTTACCCAGACTTTAATTATAAAATTTACACTGATTAATTGCAAAATGGCAAAATGATAATAGAGAACGCATTAAGTGCCGAATATGATAGACATTACCAAAATTAAATCGGGCAAACCAAACCTAATCGGAAAATAAATTTAGAAAAGTATTCAAAATATACACAATTAAATCAAGGGCACCACCTCAATCAAGCAGTGCCACAGGAAAAAAGAACTTGCGAATATCTTGATGATGATTGAGAAAAATAAGTGCTCTGACGCGGGGGGGAACGTGGTGCTACTTGCAGGCCTGCCTAAGCCTAGAAGCGGAAGTGACGTGAGCGTTAAGTAAGATGGGCAAAGAGAGACGCACTGGCTACCTGATGCGCCACACTAACATCTTCCCCCACCCACAGAGATCATCCCAATCCCAACACAGATCTCATCTCCAGGAGTTACACGCCCCAAATAGCTTCTCCGATCGATAATTGAGTCCATAGAGTTAAAATAGAAACTTAGAACAGTGAAGAGGAGTGGGATGGTGTCCGCACCTGTTGGGGCCGAGTATCAGAATGCGCATGAGGGACGAACAGTGTTTCACGAGGCGGTGGTCGATTGTATGCACAGCCTCCTCCTGCCCACAGTCCCATTATCACTATCACTAACACATTCATCCCTCCAACCTCTCCTGATATCTCTGCAACACCCAGCCAGCCCTTCCTCAAGTCCACGGGAATATTGTAGTCTATGTAAATCTGCGAATGAATCTGAATAAATAGGACCTACCTCGGAGACCTACCCACCGTGTGCACGTACGCGCGCGCCCGTACATATGCACGAACCATAAATAGTTGAATGACACCGATGAGGCCGTGTTCCGTGATTCCTGCATTTTCGTAGCGGACACGTGGATATTTTAGAGACGTTTAATGCTACCCGCAGAGCAGGAATAGACTATAAGTTTGTGCACTGGAAAACGAAACAAAGACGTTTCTTACTGACTAAAAGAAAAGGAAAAAGAAAACGTACAAGGAATCGGCTTTGAGGTGAAGGGTGGGTGTGGCGTCACCGTGTGAGTGAGAGAGTGTGAGAGAGTTAGAGTCCAGTCTGTGTTGCTGAGGCTGGGGTTAAAAATGACTCTGGTGGCGATGGAGGCGATAATTGACCTTCTTGCATGTTCCACCACGCGCCCATGCTCTTGTTTTGTTTTCCGGACTTGCCGGCTTTTTCGGTGCCAAACGTCACCGTTTCCGTCTAATTGACCTCATATCAATTAGTTGCGGACTTGCTAAAAATGCACATCGCTTCTTCTTTTTTTAAAAGCTTCAGATCACAACTCAATTATGGCAAAAACCAGAAAAGAAAGGGCAAGATCGTAAGGGAAATCAATATGTAGGAGTACACGGTACCATATCCATCCTCTAATGCTGTGAAAATTGTGCTTGATATCTTCAATTTCAATTTTCTAATTTTTATCATACATGTAACTACTTAATTTACACGTATATGTACACTTGAAGTACTTGTAACTTCTTTTCAAAGCAATATTACCAGAGATGGAAGATCATCGCTAACATTGAGAACATCATCATCGAGATCCCTCTGTAGAAATCATAAGATGGCAACTGCCAAAATTTATCTAAATCCACTTGTGGAGGATGGAAGCTGCTATGCCGCGTATTTGAAGAAATTACGATCAAATATCCCAGGATTCCAGAACACGTATTTTTAGTTGACATATACCATTCTGCGGTCCCGATTAATTCCCTTGAAATTGTTGGATGCGTATGGGACCTGATGATTCTATTAGATCATATATACAAGTTTAGCGTTCAATAAATTTTATCTTGCACTTTGCGGTGATCATGACATTTGATTTTGCCTAATGTATAATTATGGGTTGAATTTACTCATGAGATTCCGCAACGTCTTTTAGCTTAGTGGATATGTTATTATTATTCTTAAATTTTGGTGATTTTAGGTTCATTATAAAAAAAACGTGTAAATATAAAATTTTTGTGGCTCAAAATGTGAGAATGCCAAAATTATATAATTCAATTGAAATGTGATTATTTCAATTATGAGAGGCACTTTCCGATGAATAAGTTACAAACCGTGGGTTGTTTTCCACGGTAGTGTCAACCTTTTCTTGATAGACCCACAGTCCAAGCATGAACTGCTGTTCAGCGATCATTGATTGAACCGTGGGATGCCAGTTAAAAAAAAATTATTTAAATTTTATTATTTTAAAATACAAAAATGTAGTAAATATATATTATTTTAAAATTTAGCTATTGACATTTTGCGGTTATCTGGTTAAATCGCGTTTTATGTGCTTTCGAATGGTGGGATCCAAAGTATTTTTTTTTTCAAACCTGCACAAAAAATAAAAAAATAATTAGAATGATTTAAAAATAACTAAAAAAACATATAACATAAAATAAAATATAAAAAATGCTTTAATAATACTTGAGAAGACGCAAACTCACGTTGAACATCCAGGCCAATGCACAGAGAGTAGAGAGGAGAGGAATGTGAGAGTGGAAACGCACCAAAATGGGAGAGAAGGGATAAAAATGCACTGAAATAGAGTAAATAGAGGGTATGGAGAGTAGAGAAACCAAAAAAATCAAAGCCGAGATGAGAGAAATTACAAGCACAAACAGAAACTCACGAGTGCTCAAGTGCAATTCAGAACAAAATAATAATGCCCACGCAAAGCACAAGGGGTAGGGGTTAAATAGAAAGGACATAAATTGTCACAATTCAATTTTTGAGGAGTAAGAAATGTTCACACAGTTTGCAAATTATCACAGTTCAATTATTCGGCTATGAGAACTAGTTTTTAGGCTCACATGATTTTGTTTTGCCACAATTTCCCACAGCTCAAACAGTGCAACTGTGAAACAACTTCCCACAGTTGCCGCGGATGCCATGAGAATCACGATATCTATCTTTTCACTGAGAGATACCGCGAGTTTCCCACAAAGTCTTTTTGAACCGTAGGAAAACTTCCCACAATTCAGTCAAATAACATGGGAAATGTTCCCATATTATCTGCCTTAACGGCGAAAAATGAAATCTTCCACACTAAAACATGAAACGTGAGAAATTTAAAAATGTATCCACATTCTGTCCCAACTACTGTGACATTCTAACCGTAACCACCACCGCTTTTTCTGAAATGAGTTGCTATGATTTTATGATTGTCTAAGAATTGTATATAATTATTGTCATGAGAGATAGGAGCAAGCAATTGGAATATGATCAATTTTTACTTCCTGGTCAAATCAATGCAGGGTTTCATCTCCGCGACTTTACATTGCAAGATGTTAATCAGTACTACATAAAGAAAAATTTTCACCGAACAAGCTGTAGTTAAACTAATTGCAACGGTTACATTCAACCAGTATTAATTTGGTAATTAATGTAATCAGGTCCTACGTACAAAGGTGGTTTACGGAACAGCTTTCTAGATTAAAATGACAAGCCAAACTTCATTTGCAAAAAGCTAAAAATTATGAAGAAGTAAAGCAGAAGCGAAGACGGGACAGTGTCTAATAAGCTATATCCGAGAAAGAAATTTATTAATGCAAAATAAGATTCAACATTTGAAAAGGCTCAAAACTTGCATTGGTCTATAGTAAATATATATACGGGCATACGTTTTTGGTGTTTTGCAGGTAATTTTGATTCTCTCTACTATCTTTACTACAAAACACTTATAATAAAAGATAGTTACTCATTAACTTTGCCATAGAATAAACTTTTAATTTTATCCTTATTTAAATAAAAAAAATCTTTATAAAAATGTGCCTTGTAAAGTTATAATAGAGACTTGGAAAAAGTATTACACATACCACTGTCCATCAATTCAATAATTTTTTATTATGTATGACCTGTTCATCACACATATATCGACGCATGACTTTTTGTAGTTGAGGAAGAAAAAACCCAACAAATGGAAAAATGTTGAAAAGGTCTCCCAAGTCAGAAGAAAATAATGTATATACAACTAAAGTTCTCAAAAGAAAAATGCTTGCTTGAAATTAAGGAAATTTAATGTCTGTTTGGTTTCTATTTTTAAAAACAGTCTTTAAAAACTTGTTTAGATGAATATTTTTTAATTTAATTATTTTTAAAACTATTTTCATTTTTTATTTTTAAAAACAAAAAAATTGAATCATCTCGAAACTGTTTTTTATTTTTTATTTTTAAAATACATTATATTTAGTTGTTGATAACTATAGTTAACTCAATTAATAATTATATCATAAGTCCCTATTATTAACCGCTGATAACCATAACTATTGATAAATTTTTTAATTCAAATATTAAATTGATACAACCAAACAGATTTTTTTTTCTTAATATGAAAAACAATTCTTTAAACTGTATTACAAACAGTTTTTTAAAACAAAAAATAAGAACAAAAACTGAACAAGCCCTTTAATTTTTGAGATATATTCCTAACAGCTCATCAAGGTAGGTGTGCGCCAGACCCGTGTCTCGCAGTATTGGATGTGGCGTGGAGAAACTTCCATCCCTTTGCTTCAAACTTACACCACTTAGCTTAGTAGTTCGTTATATATATAATAAAACTGAACGAAGCATCCATGATTTAATTTCTTCTTAATTAATGTCGCAATAAACGGACACCATGTGTGGGTGTGTGGATTGTCTTTTTTGGAATTCAAAGTTGTTGCAGTTGAGCCCCAGTTAATCGATGTTGACAATCACGTAATTATTTATGAATATTACTCTAACTATGCCTGTTTAGTTGTTTTAGAGGACGAGCTCACATCATTTACTACCGACTAGAGTTAATTTGTTTATTTCAAAGCTTGATTATCGTCATTAAAAAAAAAGCAAATTAATTATTTTAGACATTATCATGTTTATTTAATTAATTTTTATTTTCTTTTCATTGCAAAAAATGTCGTTATTCTCTAGATGATTATCTAATAAAAAAGATATTTTAAATGCTCGATAATTATAGATTAAATTATACGAAGGTTGAGGAACAATGTCTTAGAAATGTAGAGAATCCATCTCCCATAAGGAACATTCAATCGTTTTCTATCTCACATGTGTCCTTTTCACTGGATCTGCTAGAGTTTAGGAGTGCTTAATTAATCGGAACCCGCAAAGTAGTTTTTCCCCTCTATGTATTTTGTCTCTATATATTTGCTCTTATTTTGATAGAGACATTATATATATACTAAACATGTACAACCAATATCTTTCATGCGTGGAGAGCGACCTGTGCACGGTTTCCCAGCATTTTGGGATTCCCCTGGCTTCAATAAATAAACCTAATTTATTATAATAATCTGGAACTAAAAGCTAGGATTTGGATCCTCTCCATATACCCAATCATATACATTCAATTAATTATTCATTTAGTTTAATGATGTGAGATTGCTAATTATGATATTAAAATAATTAAATATTCTATTCATTTAATAATTATTTTAATTTTATGATTAGCAATCTCATATCATTAAATTAAAAAATAATTAAATGGATAGATGAAATTAAGTATGAAGAGATGTATTGAGAGAGAATCTAAATCCCTAAAAGCTACCCTTGAGGAATATATTCAGAATTCCCGTCTATTTTCTTTGCAGATTATAGTTTATAAATCATTTCCAGTTGAAACTAACAAAAATATGTTTTTGTCGTAACTCCAAAATTAAAATATCATAATTATATATATATATATATATATATGTATATAGTGATATGTCAAATATATATTCTACAGAAAAACTAGTTTAAAGAGACTCACAAAGATACACCGCGCTTTGTTTAGCTTTTGGTTTCAGGATATTTTTCGCCCCAGAAAATATATAGAAACTATTATTATTTAATATCGGTGAGAATACCGAAAATATTTAATACTTTTACTCCCTCTAGCTAGTAGCGCAGTAAACCATTGCAAAAAATATCTTTCTCGTATCATAACATAAAGGTCATATATGGTAGTAAATTTGATCAGAAACTAAAGTTAACATATAGGAAGTTATTAACACAAAGACAATAGCTAGGTAACGACAATGCATATTGATCAGATGAAAGAA